ATAAAAGATTTTGTTTACTCAAACAGACGAATAAATTATTGTTTTAGTATTAATTACAGCTGTTCATAGTAAACACATGATACACACACGAGCGTTCGTTTTCAGTTTCGATAACTGGAGTGGTGTGATTGATTACATTATCTTTGAGTTGACTCTTTTAAGTCATCGGACTGTTATTCGTTTTGAAATAACGCCCGTAATACTTTGCAATTGCTCGAATTCAAGCAACAGGTGCACTAGTCATTAATATTGTCTGAACTAAGTATGGATACGTTGTCCCCTCCCTCATTAAGTATATGAGGTGTGGTTTGCACAAAACGTGGATTAAATCCATGACTGCAATCACTGGAGTTGTCTGCAGAAAACGAAAGTATGGTGATAAGGGAGGGTGTCTCACTGCTTTCCTTAACTTCCTCCAATTCCAAGTCCAGTATGTTTTGTCGAATTCTCCTTTTAGCGCAGATTTTTGCCTTTTACGCGAGAGTTTTTTTATGGTTTTCGCATATCCCAGCAAGGGATGATCTGAGTCATCCATTTCCATGCGGGGTGGGGGGGGGGGGGGTTACTTTCCAAGTAATGGATCACCTTTTCCGTGTTTGTTGGAGTTTGACGTTTTCTTTTCCTTAATGGTTTTTTGGAGTTATCATTATTACGACAGCAACATTATTTTATTCTATTTTTTATTCTTTATGTTTTTAAAGTCCTTGTGACTAAGGTCATACAGCACTGGGTACAGATACACAATTTCTATTAAACGATCCGTAGACATGATGCTCAACTGACTCTCAACTGACAAAATGATCTACACTCATACTGAGAATATGCGTAGGTACCGCTGAAATACCGCGCAGCAAAAATGGAGCATGCAGCATGTAAATTGTACCGTACCGGTAGCGCTATACCGCGCCAGTGTGGGTGCTCCCATTAGGTCACATTGTTCTAAAATACCTGGCGGTTTACCCTTACCGCATACCGCGGCAGTTCGGGCGGGCCTTAAAATCGATAACGGACGTGTAACTATTTTATACAGTATATTTGAACCAAATTCTTATCCTCACCCCCTCTCTGTTGTAGCAGCTAGTAGATACTGAATTAGATGTCCCATACAGTATACGAGAACCAACTACAGCAGTTTCTTTTTTATCCAAATAGAACTTACAGTATGCTACTGTTATTCTCCCTTTGATAGACAGTTTATGTGAGTTAAAAAGCTGCTTACGTCAGGATCCGTGTAAGGAGCATGCAACCGCATGGGGCGCCGTTATTGAGAAGGTAGTGACATGCTGGGTTGGCAGGCATCATGGGTAGCAAAGCCATCATAGCGTTTTAACATATTTTTCATATACGTATTTTTGTGTTCATATTTTTCCGCCGCTAAAAAAATGTATTTTTACACGTTAATACAATATGTACAGCCTTTTTGGGATATACAGTGTGTTTCAAACTCTCTCTTAAAACTCTGTGGGCATGTCCCTTAGGTCAAAACAAACCAAAAATATCATATAAACATATAAACCCTAACTCGCATCGTTATCCGTCTGTCTGTGTGTGTATGTATTTTTTACATAGCTTCCCATAACTTTGAAACGAAATGTGCGAACTTCAAACTTGGTACGTGTATGATGGCTAATAGAAACTAATTTTCAGAAATCATCAAGTTTTTACTTTGTATAATTTCAAAGTGGCGACCGTTTTAATTTTTCAAAGCTTAATTACTCAAAAACCATAGCATTTATAAAAAAGTTACATATGACAAAAAGGATAGAAATTTATTTCCCTTTACAGAAATGTACAATTTGTATAGGGTCATAACATAAATAACGGAGAAAATTTCATTTTTATTAATGTAATACCTGCTTTTTATTGAAATTGCCCAAACTTTTTGTTTTAATTTCAGAAAATTTAACTTTTCACCCTCTCAAGTAGTTCCAAGTAATGGGTATAGTTAATCAAAAAATACATACACACTGACAGACGGAAAACGAAGCAAGATAGGACATACGCATATATGATATTTTTTGTTAGTTTTGACCAAAGGAACATGACCACGGAGTTTCGGGAGAGAGTTTCGAAATACCCTGTATAACAAACTAACTATTTCTATTTAGCCCCTCTTTTTAAAACAGACAACTACTCCTCCACTATAGCTGTAGTTTCTGTTTTACACGCCTATATAATGTTAACTTAAGTGAGAACTTTGCCTCCTGAAGATGAGACCGTTTTTTTCAGAATTTAAAGAGACCCTTAATTTCTATTTATTTGAGCATTTGAAATACTTACTTACTTGAATACTGCATCGTTGACCGACAAAGTCGGAATAGATTGCGTCACATATAATAAATACTACTATTTACATAAAAAACTAACTAAGATGGCGGCGGGTTGCCAAAAAGTGGTGCGTCGTCCAGCTCACTTAGTGAGTATAGAGGTCTGCCCACCAAATAGTCTCTCAGGGTGTCCTTGAAGGCCCTAATGTCCAGCTCGCGCACTTCAATTGGGAGCGTGTTATAGAGCTTACTTGTGTAGTAGGGGTAGCCCTTTTGAGTCCAGGCTAGTCGGCATCTAGGTAGGTCAAGGAGATGGCCATGTCGTGTTTGATAGGAATGCTGGTCCTCACGTCGAGCAAGTTTTGTCGAATTTTCTTTAAGTAGCACCATGCTAATTAATACATACTGGCTATAGATGGTCAGAACCTTTAGGTCTTTGAAGATAGGTCTACAGTGGTCACGATGCCCGGCGGACGTAATCAGCCTCAAAGCCATTTTCTGAAGAAGCAAGATGTCATGTGCTGCAGCTGTATGGCCCCAGAGTGCGATGCCATAGCTTACATGGCTTTGAAAGAGAGCATGGTACACTGTGACTAAGTACGGTTTAGTGATGACCAGATTATTTTATCAGGTATTTTATATACAACTCGTACTACTACTACTTTTACGTCTGGCATGTGACTTTTGTTGGCAATACTGCGAGTCTGAGACACACTCACTACGTATTTGACCACACGCCTACACTTAACTCATAATCATTTCGAGATGTCCGTTGTGAGTCGTAAATTCAATGTTTTTAGCAATTTAGTTCAGTAGTTCAGTGTAGTTGTTACGTTTATAAAAAATACTTGCAAAAAGTTCGATATCAATATATCGGACGCTGGGTCTATTGACACAAACCCCCCAAATACCTTTTTTGGGGAGGGGGCAAAAATTTAAATCTCGCCTGGGCGTCTATTACCCTCGGGGCGGCCCTGGTAAAGCTGCGCAGCCGTTAATTTCCCTGATTTATAAATGATAGACAGTTTAACAATGTTTTGTCATAACATAATCTAATTGGGAATAAGATAGAAATTAATGTAAACAGATCAGTTATAAACAAAATCATAACAATATAATGATATTATCAACCATATCAGTTATAAACAAAATCATAACAATATAATGATATTATCAACCATATGTTATAAACAAATTAGGCAGGCCAGGTGAATATGAATATAATAAAGTTACATAGTGGAAGAAAAAAAACATAGGTGTGCTATTCCCGTCATATGCTGACGTCACCCAGATTGCAAACAAAAAATCATCTTATTGTATTGCCATAGGCCTATAAGTACCTATGTTGTTTTGATTTGATTGTTATGGTTTTTGTAATTTGTTCTAAATGGTGAAAATGGTGTTTGCATTACATTAAAACACACCTATGTTTCTCCTTATTGTACACCATGATAAAGTTTTATCTGTATCAATGTATTTTTATGCTCTGAAATTATTCTTAAATCCTTTATAACGTACAGTGGCAGTGGTGGTTCTAGGACCTTCTCATGGGAGGGGATAAGAGGGTGTTCTATACCAGGAGGGGTGGGGGGGGGGTCCTCCCCTGGAAAATTTGCTATTTAAAAAGCTGTTTCCTGACTAAAGCAATTTTTAACTTCTAAAACAATATGCAAAAACCTCTGTTACGTTTTTATGACAAAATGTATGTTTTATCATGATCCAATGGGGTGGGCTCCTATAGACTCCCCCCTTAGAATTGCTACTGATAACCTAATATCATAGATAAAACATGCTAGCATAGTAGATTTCCCATCCTTATGAAACAGCTGAAGCCAATTTTATCGTTAGTTCTGTCCAGTGCACTGTAGAGGTCGTGTTTTGTTTACAATTTGTTTCTTGTTATTTCAGTGATTTGAAACCCCTTTTAACCCAATAAAACGATATAATCATAAACAATAACTCATCCTCTAATCATATAACCAAACAATAGAGAGCAAAAATGATGAAATTAACTCTATAATACATAGAAACAAAATCTCGTTGACATTAGCCAGCAGTGTCACCGGACATGAACTAGACACAAAAACGAGCTTCAAAATTTACAATGGGATGGGAAGTCTACTTGTGTTGGTTAGTCTGCTAATATGTATGTTTTTACCAAATAAACACTCCTCATATCCTAGGCAATGACAATAATGTTGTCTTTTTTTAAATGATATGATCTTGCAGAGCTTTTTACCATTGGCTTCCTATCCTATGGTTCCTATGTTACTGTATTGTATTTAAGTCAGCTTTTGTAGTATACACTGGTTTCTTAAGAATTTAAAAATGTAGTGTACCGTACCCTTACCCTACCTTGGGAATTCAAACAATGTTGCATAGAACTTATAAAACAAAGCTGGACTATTTTTATTATTACAGTATTACAAAGATAAATGAACATAGCTGTCTTTATAGGTTTGCTAAGTAACCTCTTATTTTATGTTTAAAATTATGAAAAATTTGCTTAAAACCATACAACTCAGTGATTTTACAAATAATAAGTTAATTTCATTACTCTAAAGATACAATTAATTATAAGGGCAATGAATTGATAAGTGAACCAGAAAGGTCTATTATCACTCAAGGCAAATAGAACAAAAAGTGTTTTCAAATTTAGCAAAGATAAGAGGATGGTCTCCGACCTCTGTTATCTAAGGCTTTGTCAGTCTCACTGGCCAGTGTCTGCAGAGATCTCATCGGTGTCGACATGGCCGACTGTTCTAGTGAGAAGTCATCCCCTGTGTGGCAACCTCCGCAACCAGACACACCTCCCCCCCCACCTCCTGCGGAGACATTCATCACCAAACTGAAGGGATTGTTCTCCAGAAGCAACCTCAATAAGAGGAAGCAACAGTGCTCTAGAAGGAAACTGAAGTATGAATATGGATGCTGTAAGTTCATTCTAACACTTTTTTTCGGCCATTCTTCTGTTTATCCGAAAGTTTAATTTTTCTAAGACGACACTTTCTAGTTTTTCATTTTGAAATTATATTATTAAATAATATTGACCACAGATATCAGCTTGGCTGAAATGGGATTATAAATTGTTTCATGAATATGTAAAATAACCTTGTACGAGCTGTTGGCCCGTCCTATGTATGGGAATTGAGTAGTAAATTAAAACTGAATATAATTCAGAACAGCTAGTTTAAACGCATAAGAACAAATTCTGGCAGTTTTATTGGGAAAAATAATCTTTTAAACAAATGGCACATGACCACCTATTTCTTTCGTCCGATCATAGGCCTTTACGATATACATTTTAAATCCGATTATTTTACAATAAAAACAGCAATTGTGTCTGTTTGAAAAGCCTTGAAGTGAGATTGGCGTCCGATTCACACAAACTGGTTTTGAGTAGAGTAGCTACATAGTACCTCCCAAGGCATACTATCACTTATACCATATCTTATCTTACCTCAGTGGCCACTGAAACCTTAAGAGAATTCTGGCCTCTAATTATCTTCTATCCCCTGTCCCTTTTAATGTAGATTTAGTCTGGGAGATGTCCTTCATTACTTGGTCTTTTTACTTAATTCTTGCTCTTCCACGATGTCGTCTACCTTGTGGTACTCCTTGAAATATACTTTTGAAAGTTAATGTATCTTCTCTCCACCACGCATAGCCAGTAAAAATCTGAGCCTTTTACTTTTTAGAAAGCACCCCTATATCTGGGTGTTTAAATACGTTAATCTTAGCTCTCTGTTCTTTCTTATCTCGGTCTCTGTTATCTTGAACTGGTTTCTATATTTTCTCTGCACTCTATTCTCAAACCTAGCAATAAGTTTTTTCGGTTCTTTGGTCAGTGTCCAAGTTTCTGAATCATACAGTAGCATACTACTGAGATAGTTTGCTATGGTATGAATCAATTTTGGTTTCTACTGATACCCTGCAGCTTATTGGACAGTTTTCTAGGGACACACTAAACTGGTTGACATTTTAATTACTAACAAACATTTTTTAATTCCGACATACATACATTCGAACATAAAGAAAAAGAAGTATCAACACGTAAACAAATTACATCTTCACCAATTAAGCGATAGTTTGCTGAAAAAAAATTCCCAAACATGAGTTAAAATTTTCATGACATATGCTAATGCTTACACAGATTATATGTACGATGAAACTTGATTATACACATTTCCTAATAACGCAGATTCTTTAAGGTAAGAAAAAACTACATTTCAAAGTGAAATAGTATGTAGGCAAACACCGACGATCAATACTTTTGTAAACAAGCAACTTAAACAATTCAATGACAGTTTTTAAACCAGCTGTTAGTTTAACCAGCATGAAACAACGTTTAATTGCTAGCGTCGGATGCTAGACTTAAAAAAAATAAACCTAAATAATTTCCTGATAACTGAAACCCTTAACTAAAATTATGACTTCGACATTCCCTCCCTTTCAAAATTATCTTTCTTTCAACACAAAATCATGAAAATCCGTAAAGTGTTTGATTCAGAATTGTGAAATAAGAAAACCCTGTCACGTTTTAATATATAAGACTAGCTGTTACCCGTGGACTTTAACCCATTTGACATCATAAGTTTCAGGATTATGCAGAAATTATGGCAATCATAAAACTATTGATTGCCGTCTCAGATTGGGTAGCATTTCGAGTGGCTTTTCATGGTAAATTCAAAGAACAACATTTTACTTTAAGCTGTCAGGGCAGAGCAATAGGAGAGTATTAAAATAAAATATGACTATCTCCATTAAGCCTGTGGTTATATTGGCTCTACTCATGGAAAAAATCAGCTCAATTGGTCAAGCAGTTTTCACGTTATTGACATACTCCAAACATTCATATTCATAATATTCGTTCCTTCCATCCAAGTCATTGACTTGATCAGTAATGCACTAAAATTAATAACACGCTATTCAGTTTCCTAGACATTATTTTTGGGGAAAACAAACACAATATTTTTTTATAAAAATATGGAAAAAGTCAAAACAATAAGTCTACAAATTATGCACTTAAAAATAAAATTACCCCCTTTCGCACAATACCACATGAATTTAGTTTTTGACAGTTCTCATTGTGTATCACAGCTTTTTGTTGTTGCTTTGTTCAAAATAAGTAGTTGTTATCATAAATTAAACAAAAAGTTAGTAGTGCTGCACCCTGTTGGTAAATATTGTAACTTTATAATGCTATTAAACATCATAGAACAGCAGACAAAGCATCAAACCTGCAGACTAAGCAAATTTCCATTTGCCTGATTGGATTTACACTCAAATGTTTCCTCAAAAATATCAAATTTACTCCCTATTTAAATAGCATTAGTTTAACAAGTAATTAGGTTTGCTGCAACAGAAGGTTGTAAAAGTTTTTTTTATGCTAATAGTTTAAGGTTATGTGAAGAAATAATTTGAGGAATCAGCAAAAATAATAATTATTATTGCCGAAGCTACACGAACTCGGAACGTAACGAATCCAACTCGCAAAACTTAAACGCTATTGGCTCACAGCCTCAAAGCGAGTCGAGAAACCAAACTCATACGGAGAAAGCCAAACCTTTACGAACTCGGGACGTAACGAGTTGACTCGGTTGACAAGCGAAACGTAAACGCTATTGGCTGAATGCGAGTTGAACTGACTCGCCAAACTATAACCCTATAGGCTGCGCTGTGAATCGACCCGAACTCGACGGATGGAAGCCGAAGTTTCACGATGATACCGAGTTGAGTCGTGAGTCGAGTTTGACTTGAGTCACGAAAATACTCGACTCGTCACATCACTAGATACTGATTGTGTAGCAATATGCATTAATGTTTTAAGGCAGTAAGCGGGCAGCTGATTTTCGGCCCTAGGGATGTAAAAACTTTCTCGGTCCTCAAATGACGATGACAGCTGCCATAGACAGCAATTCGCGTAGCTTTCGGCCTCCAATAAACATTTGTAAAACGAAAAATAATATAAGTGCATTTTCCAAATTTTATCAGTTATAGTATAGTTTTTGTATGAATAAATATATTTTTTTTTCTATAAACAGTTTCCTTACTGTATACCTACTTTTGCACACCTCTGTATATCATGCATATTTCTCATCATTAATGACATATGGTATCTTGATCTGGGGTAACTCTCCTTATTCAAAAAAGATTTTTAAATTACAAAAAAAAGTAATACGAATTATTGGCAAAGTTCCCCCTAGAACCCCTAGTAAAAAACTGTTTCAAAATTTTAAAGTTCTTACTTTTTACGATCACTATATTTTGGAAATAGCATGCTGGGTCCATAGAAACCTCCCCACTTTTATGGAGACCCAAACTCAACATAATTACAATACAAGAAAAAAGAATATATTATCAAACCTGTAGCACATAATTTACAAATATTCGAGTCATCACCACATTGGTCCAAAAATCTTAAATAACTTACCAACAAATTGAATTACTCTAGAAAATCCCTATAAGTTTAGAATTTCTTTAAAAGAATGGCTCAAGACTAAACCTTTTTTTTCATTGGCAGATTATTTTAAGGACTGCTGGAATTGAAATGAAATGAAATGAAATGAAATGAAACGAAAATCCTTCTTTATTGAGGCGAACTTAGGACCTCACGGTCCTTTCTTACAGTTAACCTCTAAAAAACTAACAATACTGATCAACATTAACAAAATAAAACAATAATGATTGAAATAAACAAATAGGTGCAACAACATTACATAAATGTATTTCCCTAACACACAATCACACACACATACACCCTCTGCTGCACCCAGGCCTAATGCACGCCATCCCGCCACGCCACGGCCATCCGGTTAAGGTAATATTCTTTCAGCGCCACCGTCAGTCGGGATCGGCTTTCTAAGGATTTAATGGGATAAGGTACAGAGTTCCAAAGGCGGCATGCAGTTACTACAAAAGATTTGTTATAAAGAGTCGTCCTGTGATGAGGAATACGCAGCGTGGACGAGCCAGAGCGAGTATTCCCTGCACCTCTTTCACGCAAAAATTCAAACTTGTTGGCTAGATAATTTGGAGTTCCAAGATTAATGGCTGAATGAGTAATTGAAAGTATTCGGAATTAGGTATAAACAAACCTTCCCACTCCTTCTAGCTCAATTTTTTGTCGTGTATTTTGGGAAGATTCAGTTGATTTTGTGTAAATACAGATGTATTAGTTTTAAGTCTTTATTTAACCATTGATGATATGTCCTGTTATTATGACGTACTGACATGTAACTCAATAAATAAATAAATATATTAAACCCCAATCACAGCACACCTGTGCCTTCAACAACGTTTAAATTCTCCCCTACTGTATTAAATATATAAACATAAAAAGTAAAAACTTATATATTCATACACCTAATAAATATATAAAGATAAAGATTGTAAAGAACAAATTACCATTTAAAATAATAGTTGTTAGCGCAGCAACGCGCACCGGGTAACTGCTAGTTAAAAAAAAAAAAAACGATATATCTGCTATCTGTATATTAATTTGAAACTGTTTTTCTTTGTGACAGCTATTTTGAGAGAACGGCTGGGCGTAGAAACTCGGTAGGGGTGTCTAAAGAAAGGTCCTGGTCTGTAGATGAGCCATCAAAAGAGAAACATGGAGAATTCCCTCGGGGCTCTGCCCCAGTGGCCTTTAAATTCCCATCCCATGTTATTCTTATGGAGGAAAATAATGAGGAGAAATGACGAGGTTTTTGTCACAGCTAATTTGAGAGAACGGCTGGGCGTAGAAACTTGGTAGGGGTGTCTAAAGAAAGGTATTGGTCTGTAGGTGAGCCCTCAAAAGAGAAACGATGTAAATTTCCTTGGGGCTCTGCCCCAGAGGCCTTTAAAGTTCACTCTGCAATTTTGTTTACATTTCGACCATATGGATAATTTTACACTACTTTTAATGAACCAGCTGTTAATAATAAAA